GTTTCTAAGGTATTAGAAAGTTGTTTTTTCTGGAAGGGGTTTAGCATTTGATCAATTCCCTTGGGATGCCATCAAGAACTGTTTTTACAATCAATAGTGTGTTTAAGTTTCCAACCCTGCTTCAAAGGTCCATCATACAAGATGGGGGATCTATTGGCAGCTGCTGATAATAACATTCATCATTATGGTTTACTAATTGTTGTCTTTTTGTCCTCTAGGTTGCACTGCCACATCTACAGTAGCGCAGAATGGACAGAGGAAACATGATTGGGCCTCAAGTTTTTTGCAGCCAATATACATTCTCCTACAAACTTGGGATAGGAGGGTGAGTGAACAAGTTATCCATTGGTTGGAACCTACCATTGTTAGACGTACTAAATCCTGCACACTGCTCCTTCAAATGGACAATGTGAACATATGTCGCCATTTTGTAATTTCTGTTATTTTCAGTTGAGAATGTTTCAAAGTAATCTTAAAAAATTAAACTTACTTTTTGTTTATACTGTTTATAAGTAGATGTTTAAATATTAAATGCTGTATTCATTAATGGTTGTATAATTCTACAAATATTTTTATATTTTAAGTTTTAACATTTTTATAGTAATTGTTCCCTACAGAACATTTTGTGCTGTCTTTTTATTGAACGTCTTTGATTGGAAAATGTTAGAAAAAAGCTGTAAAATAACAGTATTCTACCTGTAGAACTTTAGGTTCTGCATTTACTTTTGTGTTTGATCATAAAAATCTAATAAAAAAAAATGTAAAAAACAGTTTTTCTCATCAGAACTTTATTTAAGGTATTTGAATGTAACATTTTAAGACAATGGATTTTGAAAAGAGAGGAAACATCTGTAACACTACAATGTTTTCCTGTAAAATCTTTAAGGACAATTCCTGTTTATTAATTGCTTTAGCACTTTATTTCAGTGAAAGTATTTTACTTTAATTTAAGGGTTTTTGTTTGGCAGTTTTCTTTTTTACAGTGTAGCCTATTTGATTTGACCCAACTGGACTCACGGGTGAGATGCTTTTTGTGCATTTTTGCTTGCTGTATGTGGATGACGTGATTAGTCATGTCATCCAATAGTATTTGACAGGAAACCATTGTATGAGCTTCCTCCAGGAAGGACCGGAGCTGGGGACTACAGTTATGCACATCTATCATTGTAAATTGATAGTAAATTGCTGGCTACTCATCTGCATTACTTTCACAGTACACATTGTACATTCACAGTAAATTACTGGCAACTCTTTTGCATTACTTTCACAGTACACATTGTACATTCACAGTAAATTACTGGCAACTCCTGCATTGCTTTCACAATAGAAATGTAAAAGTACAGGTCCTTGTTGTAATGCATGTACAACAAAATGATGTAATTCCCCAGTAACATACTGTAATATCACAGTAATTCCTTAGTCATTGAAGCTGTGAAGTTACAGTATACAGTTTTACCTTTACAATAATGCATTGTAATATCATGGGTGTGAAATTACAATACATTGCTGTGAAGACATTCACAGCAATGTATTGTAATATCATGGATGTGAAATTACAATGCATTATTGTGAAGACATTCACAGCAATGTATTGTAATATCATGGATGTGAAATTACAATGCATTATTGTGAAGACATTCACAGCAATGTATTGTAATATCATGAGTGTGAAATTACAATACATTACTGTGAAGACAATCACAGTAAATTGCTGTGAATCTTACTGTGAAAGTCATGCAAAAATTGGCCAAGTATTTATTGTGAATTCACGGTGAAAATTTTTACAGTGTAGTAGTTCATTACAGGTAAAAATAACTTATTCTTCTATAACAACAGCCTCTCTGGTGGTTGACTAATCAGAACAGAGTGGCCGAGCTGACCAATCGGAGCACACTAGGCTCACAGGGAGGGGGGGGCAAGAGCTCCAACGAGCCGTTTAGTGGAGAGAGTGAATACTGCTGAATACACATACTTTACAGAGATGCTGTATGCGAAACCAATGTGAGTTTGGAAAATTGCACAGTATAAATCCATTCCTGTATTTATCATGTATTAATGTGTTTATTTATGTTATACTTATGCCATGTTCTGTCCTCAATGCCTGTGTGCATAAAGGTACAAATTCACTCTAAATCACATCACAACAAGACCTGTAGTTTGGCATTCATTGTTTTAAAAACACACTGGTGGTCCAGAGGATTATGCATTTGGGTTTTCATGCAGGTGTTCTAGGTTCAACACCCAGGAGAGGAATATCTTTAATCTTCTGATATGCTGATGTTAAATCTGGAGAAATGGTCTCCACCACTTTTTCTAACAAAGTGACACCCATGATTCAAGATTCAATTCAAGATTCAAAGGTTTTATTGTCATATGCACATAAGCTACAGTGTAGAGATGGCATGACATTCTTCTGACCTGAGCTCCTCCAACAATGCAACATATATAATAAAATACAAAAATTCAAAATAAAATAAAAAGTAGTGCAAAAAGTCTATACATGTCAATAGATTGTGGATAAAGCATGTTTTTTAAGAATGTCTGGTCTGGTGGAAAGACTTTATAAAAGTGTGAGAAACAGTAAAATCCAGAGGGAGGCAGTGACTGTGGAAGCAAACAGCCATAACACACCAAAGAAGAACAAGAGGAAGTGCATCTATTTTGAAAGGATTCCGTGTTTCCAGCGTGCATTGCGCTTACTCGCAAACATGGTGGATAAATGAATGGAAGAATCTTGAATCTCGGGTGGAAAGCTCAGTATATAGAGACCAGGTAGCAATTTCAACCTGTTACCACTAGAGGGTCCTGTTACAACAATACATCTCTGAAATGAGTGATACATGAGGTGTGGCTTTACAGGAAAGTGAAACTTAAAGGGCCCATGTCATGGCCATTTCCACTGATCATAATTACATTGTTGAGGTATACTAAAATAGATTTATACTGTGCAATTTTCCAAACTCACATTGGTTTCGCATACAGCATCTCTGTCAAGCATGTGTATTCAGCAGTATTCACTTTCTCCACTAAACGACTCGTTGGAGCTCTTGCCCCCCCCCTCCCTGTGAGCCTAGTGTGCTCCGATTGGTCAGCTCGGCCACTCTGTTCTGATTAGTCAACCACCAGAGAGGCTGCGCCCATGTCAGTGCTTTTCCCGGCTGCTCTCAGCGTAACATCAGTCTTATCATGGCGTCGGTACAGCGGTATATTTTATATACATATATATTTTTAACTGTTGTTATAGAAGAGTGTGACGGCCCCAGGGCCTTTGTCTTACGATGGGGTGGAGCTGAAGAGGCTAATCAGCACGATCACGGACACCTCCGGACACTACGGCCCCAGTCTCTCTCCAAAGCGGCTGCAGGAAGACTAACTCTGCGATCCTCTCAACCACCTGTCTCTGCATTTACCACAATAAATGTGCCGTGGTTTTGTAAACTCGTGTATGTCTCGTCTTTCCGTTGTGGCCTACGAGCTACTCTCATAACAAAGAGTAAGTTATTTTTACCTGTTATAAACTACTACTGTTTGATGAGAAATCAAATCATGGTTTGCTATATATGAATTCAGGGAAGAAAGGATAGGCCTACTAAGTATTTCCATTAAACTTTATTTTTAGAAATGTACAAAATGAACATAAATATACATATATACACGGTATATCATCCATTCCTCCTCCTCTTGCCTGCGCACAGCCGGTGCGGTGCGGTGCCTTTTAGCACGAGGCCTCAGTAGTAGTAGAATCCCTTCCCCGTCATGGATTGTCCGCCAGGATCTGGCTGGACGAAATCAAATGCAAATCACAAAATATTAGAGAAACTTAGTTGTTTTAGATTCGTTAGTAGTAGTTGTGTAATGAACAGCTTGCCTGCTAATATGCTAACCTAGCTTTGTTTACCTTGGTAGCTAACACGATATGAACGTTAGCTTGGAGGAAAGGCAACTATAATGCAGTGTAATAAAACTACTATGAACAAAAGCTAGTGGTTCATATTAGGCTAGCAATAACGTGTTTATAATTGCAATCGTATACGGGTATTCTGCTACCATACAATGTAACTTGCATGAATACATTGTTTTGCGCTAGCATACAGCTAGCCTCGTTAGCTACATGCAGTATATGTACGGTCACAATGTACGGTAAACCGGAGTATACTGTATGAGTATTCCGTGTGTGTGACTGCAGACATTCTCCTGCCATGACAAACATGTAAGGCCATCTGCTGACATTGTAGTTGATATATTTAAACGCTAGCAACGTAGCATCACAAAAATGTTTTTCTGACCAAAACTAGCTCTAGCTCCGTGTGTTAGATCGCTACGCCAGCTATAATGTAATTACGTTTCGCGACTGACCGGCAAATCACCCGCAGTATACTGTCAATAGGTATTTTGTGTGTGAATGCAGACATTCTCCTGCTATGAGATACATGTATGCAAGGCCATCTGCTGATATTAGAGTTGATATATGGAAACTCTAGCAACTTAGTTAGCACAGTTAGCACTGTGTCAATGGCTTAGCAGTCCAACACAGTTTACACATTTAAACAGTCTTGTTTGATAAATACACAAATAACAATGCAAACTTACAGGTTGTATACCCAGATCTTCCCCTGCTCCAAACGGTCCAAACAAGCTGTGCATATCCGGCCTCAAACTGGGCAATGTTTTGGAAGCTTTCGTCTGTGAAATGCCGGTTCTTCGAACCTCTGGAGGAGGAACACGCCGCTGCTGGTGTGGCCATAGCTCTTCGGGATTGGTCCATTTCGTTCCGGGTACCGCATAACATCATGCGGTACCCGGAAGAATCAAATGGGCAGTGACGTATCTCCAACGAGGCGTTTTGGGGAGGTATTTTCTGTGTTAGAGTTTTACTCGCTACAGGGTGTACTTTGAGGGTTTTGACTCTGCACACCGTTTACATGCATAAAAACCTTCATAACACACAAGGGGACGGGTAATAACCGGAAAAGCATGACATGGGAGCTTTAAGGTTTAGTTCAGTGAGGCAGAGCAGAAACCATGGCGTCTGGTTCTTACTCCGAAGATTTGACTTGTCCTGCCTGTCACACTTTCTTCACAGATCCAGTGAATCTTCCCTGTGGACACGCTTTCTGCAGAGGATGTATTCCAGACGGTGTGAGTTCACCGCTCTATTGTCCACAGTGTGGGGAGGCTGGTCCTCCAGAGGGGGGATGTCTGCCCACCAGCCTCATATTGAAAAGCCTCTCTGAGAAGGCCAAGGCTGAGGTATGTTGCTGCTGCTCACTTACACTCACTTTTGGGTGTTCTAAACCCACAATAACTTTATAGGATGAAATATTAGTGTTATAATAGCACTATTATAGTAGTACTACTAATAATACTATTTTGCTACGTATTCTTCGTTCTTTCTTTGTATGCACCATTTATACAAAGGCAAATTCCTCGTATGAGTAAACCTACTTGGTAAAGAGCTATTCTGATATGTCAATTACATGGATCATAGTTTGAATCCTGCGAATATGTCAACTGCAGTCATTACAAATTAATGATTTGTTTGTGCATGCTAGGACAGCTCCCTACTGAAAAAAGTTTGCTCGTCTTTAAGAGATCAGCAGGTTAGTGTTCTTCCCCTGAGGCCTGTACGACGAAGCCAGTTCACCAGACCCTGGATATCTTTTAGTTATCCGGCTTAACCAACCCTAACAAAAAAAAGTCCTTTATCCTGTAATATGACTTCTAGCCTTGAACTCCCCGCACAGAGCTCTGATTGGTCAGCTGGCGGTGCTTTCACTGAGTTGATCTCTTATCTGCTCCGGGGCAGGTTGGGTGTCCAGCATAAGACTGATTCTATAATTTAGGGTGCATTTCACATCAACAAAACAGTACAAAGAAAGTGTTCTTTCTCAATAGAACAATCAGTGGTTCAAGTTAGTATATTCCTCAGTGTAACATATCCACTAGTTGCAAAGCTTAAACATTTTTTTATTTTATTTTATTTTAAGGGAAAGGATGTTTTCACTACTCAGTTTGTCAACTATGTTACGGACAAACTTGATGTCATTACAATCATTTGATTAAGTCCTGCACTTCAAGTAAAATCAAATTTGAAAGGCTCTTGAGTCTATTCTACCATATATCCAAAGATTTTTTAAAGTTTAAAAAATAATTGTATTAAAGTTTTGTTTTTTCATGTGATATGTTCAGCACTGTCATTAAGTTTAGGGATATTTTGTATTATAAAACTACCATACAGGTCATTTTGATAGTTTTAAGAGATGTCATGTAAAACTCCAAACTGTGTAGATATACATTATACTATAAAGGATATCAGAAGCACTATTTTAGATATTTTAAATTTGAAAAAATTAGGTGCAACATAGTTGACAATGAAAGTCAAACATTTGACGCAAATAACATAGTTGACTGGACACATTATTAACCATCAGCACTATGTTCATTACAAGGCAGAAGTGCAAAATTCCATTGATAATGATGTGTCATGATGTCTACATGTCATACAAATTGTCAACTAGGTTACCTGTCAACTAAGTTACTACAGTTATTACAGTACTGGGTAACTTAGTTGACAGGTAACCTAGTTGACAATTTCCCTATTTTGACCCATCATTTCAATGGTAGGCCTTGCCTGGATGACCACATGTCATTTTCTTGAACAGGTTAACATCACATTTGAACATATAATTGAATTAAAATCATTAAACAATTGTAAACCATAACAATGTACGTAACATTGTTGATGGTCAATTAATATACTCATTGACAATGTGCTATTATACATAAAATATTGTAAAAAATTACAGGACAATCACCACAGTGTGTTCAAAATGTCTGCCAAAGAGGAACATGGCATCATGTGTTGTTGGTGACATGGTATTGGGACAAACCATTTTTGAGTTAAAGGGGGGAGTTCTGTTAGTAACATAGTTGACAGAACTTTTGCGGACATTCATATATTAAGATATTTAAATTATTTAAAGGAGGAAATCAATTAAAAATATGTTATTATTCTTTAGTATTTCGACTTTTGAAATAAATGAATAATTTTTTTAATTTACTTTAATGGTTTTTATTCATTATTTTGAAACCAAGACACCCTCAACTGAAAAACAAACATAGCAAAAACTGACAATTTAAGAACATCATGACACATTTCAAGCTAAATAAAGCATAGGATGCACATAATGTTTGTGTGATATTATAACATGCTTTCCAATAATAGGCAAAATATGATATTTTTGAAGAAAATAGTTAGAATAATTATAATTATCATCAATGGACATCAATGGACATGGAATGTACCCTAAATTGTAGAATCACTCATAAGTTACCATGGTGATGTACCCCGGTAAGAAGTGAACCAGGGTCTTAAAACTCAAACCTAACCCTGAAGTTACCCCGCTAACCCAACATCCTGCTTCGTAGTACAGGCCTCTGCTCTCAAATGTAAAACGACAGTGATGAATGATGCAACATTCAGTCAGGATGAAGCAACTTTCAGACTGCACACAACGTGCACACTAAACAAGATACAAGACTGGTACAAAGGTGGTGCAATAAACAGAACTATTCAAGATTTATAAAATATATTGTTCAAGCTGGTCAGGGAGATGCAGGTCATTAGCATATGTTTCATTACAACCCTTGTACCAACCTGCATTTATTAAAGAACTCTTTTTTTCACAGGCGGCTGAGATGTGCCCAGAGCATGAAGAAAAGCTGAAACTGTTCTGCGTCACAGATCAGCAGTTAGCTTGTATCATATGCCGAGATGGGGAGAAGCACGAAGGACACAAGTTCAAACCAATCAAAGAAGCCGTCGCATCTCTCAGGCAGGAGTTGGAGAAGGGAATGGAGAAGTTCAGTGGTGATATTCTTGCTACAGAGAGCTTAGCCAAAAGTCAGAGAGAAGAATTAACAAAAACCAAGGCAAAGTCTCAGCAGCTGACAACCCAAATCCAAAGAGAGTTTAAGGAAATGCACGACTTTCTGAGAAAGAGGGAAAAGGAGATAAAGAAAGAGTTGAAATACAAAGAGGAAGATGCTGTTGAGAAAATGAGCAAGAACCTAAATGCTTTAGAAAAAGCTCTTTCTGACAGCAGAGAGCTGGAGCAAAAGCTAAAGTCTGTTCTGAAAACTGGAGATGCAGGAAGTCTCTTAAAGAGCTGGTCTGAGGGCAACAGCAAGATGACTCCAGAGGACGCTCTCAGGCCCAGAGCAAAAGATCTGCAAGTGGTGAATGACTCACTGTGTTTTGATCCCTATGAAAGCCACCTGCAGTTCTTTATGTGGAAAGAGATGCTTCAGGTGATCAAGCCGCGGGAAGAGCTGCTCTCTCTGCAAAGCAACAGTTCAGATATAACTCTATCTGATGACGGACAGAGTTTGTTTCCCCAAAGCAAGCAGGCAGCAGTATATTGTTCCAGTTGTAATGTTAATTATGACCGCCCCCACAATTGTCAGTCGGGGCAGATGCGCATGCATCATTTCCAGTTTACCCCAACAGCTACTACTATTCCTTCTTCTGATGGAGAACTTGTCATCCATACAAATCCTCAGTTCACTTCAGGGCAGCATTACTGGGAAATAGATGTAGGACATAGGGTATTTTGGAAACTTGGAATTAAAGATCATTTCCTGAAATATGAAAGTCAAAAATATGTTACCTGTAGTAAAAACAAAACCATGGCACTCAAATTTGCAGACGGACCTCGAAAGATTGGTATTTACCTAAACTGCACATCCAAGATGCTCTCCTTCTATAATGCAGACGGCATGGCGCTTATTCACACCATGAGCTTGGGCTCAATCTCCATGCCACTGTCAGCATATGTTGCCATTTACATCAGGTCCCAAGCACCAGATCATAACCCCCTGAGAGTCTGCCGGTACTGATCAACATCAATATTAAAACAAGCACATATCCCAGGAGACACATTACAAAAAGTTGCTTTAAAATGTAAAAACGTGTTATTTTAAGGATGTGTTAGTAACTCATATTTAGTAAAGATAAGATCTAATAATATATACTTTATTAATCAAAGCAATTGGAAGATGTTTTCGTTGCAGCAGCATGTAAATCAATTATTGCACATAATTAGATTACACATATTTTTTTCTGGTAGTCTGATATATATATGTAGACAGAAAAAAACCCACATGAAGCACGACAAATTAAGCACATCACGTGGATTCATATTTCCGTTAGCAGCACACTGACTTTGGTTTAGCAACTGCATAGACTGCTGTATACAATACTTATCCTGCCTGTTTATATGGAGGCACTCTTAATCGACTATTGGAGGGCAACACTTTGTATTTATTTTATTTTTCTTTCTTTTAAAATTTTTTTTAATGTTTTCTCAAGATAATTGATGTTCATATTGTGTTCACTATTTGCCATCTGACTTTGAACTTTAGGACTTTATTATTTTATTCAGAGAGTTTTACGTGAGCGAATCAAAGAGGTTTTCAAGGTTTCAGGCAATTCAGTTTTCATTTTGAAATCTTTATTTGAATATGTTATTGTTAATACTACTGTTTTGTTGATGTTCTATGGATTCTAACAAGGGTTTAACAGGGACTAATATAGCATTCCTACTTTTTGGAGCGTGATTTATATAACATGATCCTTCCAAGATCTGTACGATTTATTTAAATATTGTTTTCAGATTTTAATCCCCCTTCCTCAGTTAATTGTATAATGTGATGACTTAATACTTTTCTGAAAGATTATTGATCAGCATTTTTTATTTTAGTTATACTACTTCCATGTATTTGTTGCTCTGGTTGTGTTCTACTATCTATGTATACATTGTTATTTCTTGATTATTGATATTGAATTGAGTCGGGCTTGGATGTATCTATGATCCGGTGGTTAATAAATTCCTGAAGATAATATACTTGTGATCATGTCAAAGTTATTTACTGAAGAGATTAATGATTTGATACAAATGTAAATCCAGACTTTCATTTCATTTTGTAAGAGCTTAATTTTGTATTGCAAATTGAAACAGCACCTATACCCTCCCTCGGCTGTCCAGAACCAGGAGGGGAATAAAAGAGAAAGGAAATCAGGAACTATGAAAACCAAGACCACACCGGGGGAACATTGATGATGAACCGATAGATAACAGTAGGGAAGACATAAGTACATAATCCAAAGACTAATAACAAAGACTAGACACAGCTGGAGAAGGCAGGTGAATCAAGGTGAACACAATCAGACAATCACACAGGTGGAAAGAAACCAGGGCAAACAATTACTAAGGCAGGAAGTAAAACAAGACAAGAAATAAAGAGAAAAGGAAATGAACGTTTTCATGAAAAGTTTAAAACTAAAACCAAGATAATTACACGGTATTATCTTTCCTGTCAGAATTTGCCCAGTTGACATTAAAGGTCACCTATTATGCAAAATGCACTTTTTGATGTCTTTTATACATAAATATGTGTCCCCGTTTTAAGGAGACTCACAAAATGTCAAAAAATACAACAACAAAAAGCACTGCATAAGCAAACGGCTGCAAATACAACTTACTGCAAGAAGTGCACAACACAAAACACTAAAAAGTGATTCAATCAAATAGTAATTAAATACCATAATGAAGCCAAATACGATATGTCACAGCTTTCTACTTTTGAATGCTTTAACATTCAAATATTTAAGAGGGAGGTATAATTTAGATAAGAGTCATAACATTTGGCTCTACTCTTTTCTAGAGTAGAGCTATTCTACTTTGTACCACTATATATGAAATGTAGGTCTACTATATAGGCCTATTCTATAATATTTGGTCCATGCAAGGATAACAAATATGAAGAACAATCCTATATGAATGTTTCTTGATTTTCTGAGTTCACAAAGAGGTCACAAAGATTCTCAACAATTAAGATTTTAGGATGTTTTAAAAAAATGAAATAACTACCAAGATTCAATAATCAGGAACTACACCAAACAGGCTCTGTAAGATGTAAACATTATTTATGAACGGTGAGCTAAGAAGTGTTTAAATTCCAGCAGATGGAGCCATTAGCCTTTCAATGGTCTGAAGGTTGGGTATCTGGCACTTCATCAGCAACATGTGGCTCATTGTGAGTCGGATTCAAAGCAGATGAATGTCTTAAATGTTATTTCAAATTGTATTTTGTTGCGTTTGTTGGGATTTTATTAAAGATTTTCCAAGACAGACAAACATAAAAGAAACACAATATGACGAAACCAGGAAATAGCTATTGCAAAGACATGACACAAATGGTCAAAATGTCTAGAAAGCATTATAATCTGTTATTAGATACCAGAAAATATTCTGAAAACAGATTGACAGTAAGTGGTAGATAACTGAGGCTTCATGATGCATATCTAGTGGCCTCGAAAGACTTGAGCTGATGTTGATCTGATGTAGCCGATGGCTACCGATCTTTCAGGCTTCCATCGACACGCACACCATCCCTCTGTCATGTATGACCATTCCCTTTGAGACCCACTGAGATAACTTAGACTACATTTTACAATCTAATCCCTCAGAGAGTCCTTTAGCTCACTGAGCTGATGTTATCTCAGCCTCTCAGTCCGACAGGAGAGAGCTCTCCCTCTCCTTATCGTTGAAACAGCTTCTAATCTCCGTTAGCTCCGAGCTAGCACCAGATGCTAACAACAACCCCCGTAACTCTCTCTGTCTCTCTGTCTCTCTCTGTCTGTCTATCTCTCTCTCTGTCACTGTCACTGTCTCTCTATCTCTCTCTATCTCTCTCTCTCTCTCTCTCTCTCTCTCTCTCTCTCTCTCTCTCTCTCTCTCTCTCTCTCTCTCTCTCTCTCTCACAAAATGCGCTTGTGCCACACACACACAGACGCTTCTCCGTGACGATGACCGCTTGCGTAAAAAAATAAATAAACACATTTGAAAAGTGGGGGGGACACAAACGGGATTTTGAAAAGTGGGGGGGACATGTCCCCCCTGTCCCCAGTGGAAATTACGCCAATGGGTGTATGAATAGAGGAGTGAAGGAAAAGCACAAATTAACTAATGAAAGGTCAAGGGATGAAAGGATGAATGGTTATGGGGTGGAAGGATTGAGGGATAAAGGGTCGGGTGATGGAAGAGAAAGGGAGGGTGGTTTGTAAAATATGACTATCAGCATTTTTCCAAAGGCAAATCATTTAAATTGATTCTCAGATAAAAACTCTGTCTGTGGATCTTCATATCAGATCATTATGAACACTGTGGCTCCTTTCCTTCCTATCGTGACACATCACCACATAGGGACAATATGGGAGATATACAAAAGCAACATTTATTAGATTAGTTTTTGTATTGCTAGCTAATAATTAACCATGATATACCGTTAATTAATGAAAAGTGAAACACTCGTCCGATGGTCCTTCACTTGTTGTAGAGCTGGCTGTTGATTTATTCTGATTTGAATCTTACACAGTAATATCTAACAAGGTCTTCTAGTGAGCTTATGTTTCATTTTGTGAAAATCTAAACTGTACATGGAGTGAAATGTGATGTTTTTAGGCTCTCTCTGTTTTAAATAGACTTAATTGTCTCTGTCAGCAGGATAGTTATTAACCAAGACACTGATGAGGATTTTTCAAAGTTATTTATTATGTGGAATTAAAAAAAAACTATTTGACTAGACTTTTGTAATATCAACAACTCTGCATATAACAAATAAGCATGTACACATAGTTGAAGCAGTAATATAGAGCAGTGGTTCTCAACTGGTCAGGCCTCGGGACCCACTTTTTCCTTTGTCAATAAATCGCGACCCGAAATTTTTAACCACTCAAATCTATTCAACAAAAAATCGTGCTGTAATATATACGCTTTTCAGCATACAATATCGAAAAAACATCAGCAAATATGTTTTATTGAGAAGATGATCACTAATGGCGCAGTTCCACTACAGCGCGGAGCTCGCTTTAAGCGTGCCGTGTCGTGCCGAGCCCGTTTTTGGTTGCGCTTCCACTAGGCCTAGTTCCGGCCCGGCCCGGCCCGGGGCCACTTTTTCACGTCTTTTCTGGCCCGAGAAAATTGTGGTTCTATCGAGGCCAACAAACAGGGCTGAGTCGGGCTGAGTATGCTAAACTAGAGAGAGGAGCGCTGGCAAGGGGGCTACAACTACAACAAGATGGACATATTTGACCGTGATTTAATTGTAATACACGTTTCAAAATGATGCCGAAGTAACAACATACTGATACCGGTTAGTAAAAACCATGAATTAATGCTTTGTCAAGTCTGCAGACAGACGGCAGGCGAAAAACCTTTTAAAATGCGTGTTTTCTAGATGGAGATTGGCTAAGCTAACGCAGTATATGCCCCGACCGTCCACACTCACAACAACGGCCTATACAGACATAAATAAAGCAGCGACTGTATTCACCATGACACAGGCAGTCTGTGGTGTGTACTTGTTTAACTTTTGTCGAGTTTCTGAACATATATAAGGAGCTGTGAGCTGTGAGTGCTAACAGCTAACAGCTGTGTTGTGTTTTTGGAGTTCTCTGAAGATGACGTCACGGCTCCGCCTACACTGCGTTACTATAGTAACTACCCCAGTTCCTAAACTGTAATGGAAGCGCAGCATGAAGTGAGTCGGCCCTGTTAAGGCCAAGCCGTACCGAGCCGTACCGAGTGTGGCCGAGGCTGACCGTGTAGTGGAACTGCGGCATTAGTGACAGAAGTTTTCAAAAGCGTTTATGGTCCACGGTACTTCCAGTCCAACGCGTAATTCATGCACAGCGTTAGAAAAGCGGGCCTTCAAAATAAAAGTTAGACTTTTTTCCAAAAAAAAAGAAAACCCACTCTAAACAGGTCCGCGACCCACCCCTGTTATAGAGCACCTGACCATAAGCTGGTCTTAACGATAAATCATGTTTGACACCTCGACATGATTCACTTCAAGCTGCCAGCAGCTCATTCTTCTAAACCTACAAGCTGCTGCTACTGAAAACTGACTATAAAAGCTTTAAGAGTTGAACGTGAATATATCCACTTTGCACACATCCTGCACAGCCTCGCTCTCCACAGGGACATTTCAACGTCCTTCTTCTTTGTTTCCATCAGGTGAGCGTCTGAAGAAAATCACAGAAACTGTGTGTAAAGTTACAGCTGGAACTGTGACTCTAAATGTGGAGTGGGCCTGTTTGATCTGATGCAGGAGGCTCTAACCTGACTGGACTTCACACCAGGTCTTCCTGCTCCTCTGTGTCTTCTGTCTGTGCTGCAGTGTGTGAGTCGTTCTCATACTCAGGATCAGAGTCCAACTGATGAAGAGAGAGAAGACAAAATTAGACCCTCATTCATGAAACCTGCATATACTTTAAGATTTTATAAAACATTTTTCATATTTTAAAGTTGATGCTAATTATTTCTTGGCTAAATTCATTTCTGGTTTCAACTCAGGAAGTTGTCTTTAATCACAAGTTCTCTTCACATTGCATTTATGAGCCACAGTATAGCTTTGACGAAGGGGAAATGTCAATAGGTCCGCTCTCTCTCACCTCTATCTCTTCAGGTTCATGTGCTTCAGTGGTGGAGCGCAGAGCTTTCTTCTTCCTGGATTAAGGACAACAACAAATACAGATTTTATTTCATAACAGTAAACTAAAAGATGTAAGAAGGATGTTTAAACTGATGAATTTCTATTGTTGTACCTCGTCCACAGACTCAGGAGAAACATAGGAATCAGCATCAAGGCCCCCAGAGTCGTCCTGATGATATTCACTATCATTGTTGAACTCCCTAGAAACATGAACACATATGTGATACTTCTAACTACAGATTGATAAATCACATTGTCAGTGTGATCCACCTCTGACACCATGGAGGTTCCTCCCTGAACACTGACATTTTGAATATGCTTGGGTTGTTTAATATTACAAAGTGAATTAGTTCTGGTGAATGTAGAGAACTTACCTGTTCCAACACTCAGATGTAAGTTGGAGTTACTACGTCCTAACTTGTTCTGGGCTCCACAGGAATAACTCCCACTGTGTTCAGCTCTGAAGTCAGTGATGGTGAAGATCTGTCCTGAAGCTTTTGGAGAGTCTTCATCCTCCTTGTACCAGGTGTAGTTAGCTGCTGGGTTAGCATCACTGCTACAGGTCAGAGTCACTGAACTGCCCTCCTCTATCTCAGCAGAGGGACTCACTGACACAGAGGGAAGCTTTGGAGCATCTGGAGGAAACACAATAAATCAACAAAAATGATTAAAAATACACTATGTTGAATTGTGTATTGAAATTATAAATAGTTATCTCTGTGGGAATCTGGAATTTGGAGGTTTTTTTTCACAGGTATAGAACTGAAGAAAACCATTATGTTGTGTATATACAGTATATCGTTTTCTGTATTACTGATGGCAGGAATACCCTGAACATACGTGCATATTTGGGATACAATTGTAGATAAATCGTCATTTTCATCATCTACTGTAGCTGCTCTCCATCTCATTGACCTACAGCAGCAGACTGTGAACAATGTTGTCATTGGGTGCATGATGCTTTTCAAATCATCTGGGTTTTACTCACATGTCACATCAATAAAGATGGATTCAGATCTTCTACTCCCCAGCTTATTCTCAGCCGTACAGTAATACTGTCCAGAGTCAGAGGACTGGATGGAGCTGAGGACAACAAATGGTGCTTCATTGACAGAAGAAAGGTGTGCATTTTGATTCTTCTTGTACCAGGTGTAGTTAGCTGCTGGGTTAGCATCACTGCTACAGGTCAGAGTCACTGAACTGCCCTCCTCTATCTCAGCAGATGGACTCACTGAGACAGAGGGGAGCTTTGGAGCAACTGGAAGAGATTAGTTTGCACGATTAATGAAAAATTGCACCCAGCTCATCAGGAAAACATCTCTCCATCAAGGTTCTCAAAATTAGCAGAATGTGAAATTGAAGTAAGTATGAGAACCCTGAAAGACCCTTTTCAAGTGATTAAAACATGACAATTATTGATACACTGTATTTCCTCACATTTCACATCAACAGAGATCATTTCAGATGTCCGTTTCCCCAGCTCGTTCTCAGCTGCACAGAAATACTGTCCGGAGTCAGAGGACTGGATGGAGCTGAAGAAAAGCTTTGGTTCTTTAGTGAGAGGAGGAAGTTTCTGATTTCCATTCTTCTTGTACCAGATGTAGTTAGCTGCTGGGTTAGCATCAGTGCTACAGGTCAGAGTCACTGAACTGCCCTCCTCTATCTCAGCAGAGGGACTCACTGACACAGAGGGGAGCTTTGGACCATCTGGAGGATAAAATTCATGTTAAAGAATATTTTTTTTTATGAAGCATGATTGACTATTTTATAATTTATTTTAAACTATCCCTAGTCATCTATATTGTAACTTGATCAGGTGTAAAATCAAAGATTTCTGCTTATGGAGAAAGTCACTAAATGTTCTTAATCTTAATGTTAATGGCTTCAAAACTCATGCTTCTCTCTGGTAACTGACTTTAATAGAGCATCTAAGTAAAATAAACTGTACAACATCAAACATTAGATTCAGCAACAACGTTTTTATACTTCAAAATGTCATTAAAAAAGAACTGTACACATTTGTATTCATAAAAAAGTAATTTATGTATGTAACATGTTGGGTTTATTGAAAGCTAAAGTGCTTGTAGGATATTTGTTTTTATCTTTATGGTTGTCTCCACTTATTGTAAGTTCCCGGACAAAAATGAAACTGATGTAATGTACTTTAGAAGACTCCGGTGAGGTTATGTACAGTATGTCTATAACGTCACTGTATTGTAATGTCAATGTATGTGTGTACAGTAAGAGTAAACTCACACACTGCAGGAGAGGGAAAGTCCTCATATCCCTTCAAAGCACAGGAATAACTGTCTGCATTGTTCGGGTTGCTTGTATAACGAGATGTTTCTCCCTGAATTATTTGTCCGTTCTTGTACCAGATGTAGGAAGGATTAGAAGATTGAGGATAACTGCTCTGACAAAACAGCCAGTTTGTATCTGATGTGACCTGGAGATCTGGATTTGTGAAGGAACAGGAATGTTAATTAAGACAAAACTCTCAAAACACATGCATATTATTATTATTATATCCAAGACATTAATAAATAATTAACATATCATTGAAAATTGTTACTTGAGACGGACAAAGTGACGCCAGTCGAACCACCATATTTTCCTCCTGCTTGGTTTGTTTCAAACCTGAACTTGTACTCAGCTGAGTCGCTCTCTGTCAGGTTTCTGATTCTCAGAGTGCAGATGTTCTTTTCACCGAGATCCTCTACACGACCTGCATACTCTGAGTCTGTGGTCAGATCTACAGGTTCACCATCTCTCCATTTAGTGAACCAGAATGTTTTCTCCACTGTGTTAACACTGCCTCTCCATGGAGATGGGAATGTGTAGCTGCATCTTATCTCCACTGTTGATCCTTTCACTGCACAGATCTCAGTAGGAGAGTAAGTCACTCCCCAGCCATCCTGACCCTGAACCACTGAAACACAGAGCACACCAGAAACTAGAATCAAAGATAATCTATAAATTGTTGAGAAATTGCCTGATCAGTACTTTCAACAAAGAATGTAAAAATAAACATTTTACAAACGTTACTGGGATAGAGCAGAAAAACACATGTGAATTCCTTCTTAGGCACTTTAAAACCAATGATACTCTTTGACTTTGTTGTTTCTTAATCAAACCAGGCAGAACAGAAGTCTACACAAAAAGGGTATGCTCAGTTTGACACAAGATTGGAAAATGCCTTCATATAAATGAACAGTGAATGATTAGCGATCATATTAATTAGAATAGTGTGTGATTCTCTGAACAGTTTCCTCTCTGTTCGCTCTGTGGTCAGGTTGCTGCTGAGGTAAGTGTGACAATAAATGCAGAACACTGAGGCGTGAGCAGCTTCTGTCTGATATACAGATAAGAAAAAGAAGAAAACTGCTTTCAACTCAGAGAGGTCGGAGAGTAGAGAAGGAACTAGAAGGGTTTGGTGCAGAGTGGCGACATAAGAGAAGTTGAGACAGTATAAAATGACTAGTAAGAAAATATCCCTCTAAAACACTAACATTTTTATGAAAACGACAAACATTTTTTTAACCAGGCTCATCTTAAAAATAAAACATAGCAAAATGTTATAACATGGTGAGGAGGGAACAGTTATGAATGAACAATATTATCAGTTTGAAGCGTGTAAGAGTAATAAGCACACAGTTACTTTTGAGTGCAAATTACGTTGACCAATACAGGAAATACATTTTTACAAGTATCCTTTACATGTAACACTAAAAAACTACTAAAACTTGGAAACATCTTTGTGTTTCATCAAAGCTACACAAAACATATATTTGGAATATTTCTGGAAAGTTTGCATTTCATCCAACCCCGATCCACTTATTTCTACAAATGACCTGCTTTTACAAGTCCCACATTTCCCAGAATCCCCTCTGTTCATGTGATGAATGTAAGTGTAGATGTACAGTACCTGACACAGAGAGCAGGAAGACAACTAATCCACTCGCTGCTGCAGTTAAACTCATAGCTGCTCCTCTCATCTCTGTGAGACTATAAAACATGTCAGATTAAATAATGTTCACAGGAGGTATACAGAATCATTACATCAATAAACTGTTTCTACTCACAGTGAAGGAGGAACCATGTGTTGAGAGATGCCTCTCCTCTGTCACCAATGAGCAGAAGACGGATATCAGGCTGTTAGAAGACTAGATTGACTTCCTCTTGAGACGATTAATATGCATGATGAGCCAAACCCCAGTAACACCCACTGCACAAAAAAGTTGTATTGTTTTAAAAAAGTATACACGTTAACAGAGACTTCGTTTAAACATTTGTTTCACTGCCAATATAACACTGACACCAGAAAAGAGCATTTAAATGAAGAAGAGAATAACAGTTGATCTCTATGAGCACTGAGGACGTCACACAGTCTGCAGGTGTAGTGAAGGAACAGGAATGCATTAACCTGTGAACCCACGAGGCAGTTTAACTGAACAGGATGAAGAGAACCAAATTAATTATAAGAGAGAATGGAAAATGCCATATCATTTCTCTTGGTTTGTTTCTTCTCTGTTCTCTCTGCGGTCAGGTTGCTTCTGTTTCAGAGAAATGCAGAACTCTGAGACGTGAGAAACTCCCATGCCTGTTAGTGTGAACCCAACATGAACACACACATCACACTCATAATCAAGTGGACTGGTAGGATTTGGACACACAGTGTTTAATGATACGAAAAACACATGTTCAATGACTTTGGATGTTTAGGTGGATCAGTTGAATTAACTGTAAACATTTGTCCAATGTTTACATTTATTAAAACACTTTAACATTTGAAAAACAACCTCACAGCATGCAGCAAACTTTATTATGAATGATTTGCATGTTTAGGAGGTACAGTAAGAGAGGACATCAGCACTTTAGTAGTTTGGGTGAACTGACCCTTTAAAGCAGACAGTGGAGGGAGCTCTCTGAGTGATGAAGCCTGAATGTGTCTCACTTAAGATCCCCCAGTAGAGGACAGTGAAACATCAGAAACTGAATCAGGACCCGGAAACAATGTACAGTTTAATATTTAACACTGGTTGTTTTGGCACATTTAAATTGACTTTTTGTCGTTATCTCAATGTAGCAGGACAAACTGTTCAGCCCTATCAACACGGTAAACCTTTCTAAAGAGGGGTCAGTGTCGCTCTTGCTCCCTCTTGCTCTTTGGCACGAAGGCCACTTCCGGGCTGAACGAAGCTCTCCTGCTGTGTGTCTTAACTTAGCCTGATCGGTAGGTACGCTTTTTGCTTGTCTCATCCTTCCTGAATAATATTAATGTAGTATTAATCGTATTATCGTAACATCACCTGCGCTGGAAGCTGTTAGAAATTAAAATCAATGTTAAACAGCATAATTCAGTCTAAAACATATCGTCAGTTTAAAGCTGTTTTATTGTGGAAAAGCCCGGAAGTTCTCAGGAAATCAATGCCAAGCTTTTATTCTGAAAAATCCTTTATCCGGTTAGCTTGTGACTAATGTTGCGTTTTCTGAATGTAAAGTGAAAATGACTTGGAGTGTTACACACAAACGTACGGACTTTAACACTACATCGATAGACGTTAAGATATTATTACTGCTGAATATTAAATGAAGGTCTAGTTGATCGTAGTGTTTACAGATACGTGAGAAGCTATGACGTCAGAGGGAATTTCCGTAAAATAAGAACTGTGCCGGAGCGGAACCACTAGGACTTCTAAACTAAGTATTACAGCTGTTTATAAGGTATTAAATAGAAAGTCATGACAGAGATAATGAGGAGAAAATGCTTAAGGAAGTAGGCAGAGAATATCAATGTCGAAATCATCTGTGCTCTCGCGATATCGAACCGGCAAATGAGTAGGGGGCCACCCACTATTTGCACAGCGGGGGACAACGAGACGTGGATAAAAAGGCAGGACGAAAGATAACTCTCTCTCTTCCCTTCGCTGCAGCCTCCCTCAAGACAACACCGGCTTTGTCTCTCCATTCACCATGCTTGTTCTTTAACCACGTTACTTAATTAAACTACCCATTTGAACCTTTTCAGAGACTCCATTAGTCTCGTTATTTTAAGTTTCTTTCCTGGGAGCGAGAAGATCACAAATTATCAACATTTGGCTGACCCAGACGTGTGATATCAACACTGGGAGAGAAATCGCTAGTTTCGACGGAGATTCCGCCAACCAAAAGACACACAAAGGGCCCATATGCGAACGGTAAGGAGAAGCCAGTTATATCAAATTCTTCAATAGCTTATATAGAACCATTTAGATTTGTGTGTTTTGCGGCGAGCAGGACATCCTGAGAACAGCTGTTAATTTAATGTTAAATATAAATTTAAACCAAACCACGTGGCGTTGTTTTAGAGCAAGCAGGGTGAGTCTATTTTCCTTTCTTTGATTCATTAACCAACTGCATGTTTTTTAAACCAACTGCATGATTATAATGTGTGTGTTTTCCAAGCCGGATATATTAATGTGCTTTTAAGCCGGTATTTATATAATCTTTTAAAAAAAAAAATAATAATAAAAAAAAAAAATAAAATAAAATTAATAAAAAATAAATAAACCAATCCCAGATATTGAAGTTAAATTCGGATGACATAGGATATTTGTTATCAGGAGCGAAGGTACTATTCAGTAGATTAGTGATTCATCTTTGATACATTTAAGGACTATATCCAAACTACTTATTATATTGTGTTTGACGACTTATAGATGGACTCTTGTCGTTTTGTATATTCTCAAGACAGATGGTATCTTCTTGACAGAGAAATAGATGGTATCTTTTCTCGTTATTAGCAAGTTAAAGATGGAATCTTCTTGTTAAAGAGAGTTGATGGCATCGTCTCGTTTTTAGTCTCAAGATCAGATGGAATCGTCTTGTTTCATTGTCCCAAATAAGTGAGATGGTCTCTTGTTTAATTGGTGATAAGAGTCTGTGGAAGTCTGAAGTATACTCTTTAATCATTGCGTGTGCATTACGGAAAGAAATGCGGCATTCGTGCGTTAGATAGACGATATTCTCCTAATAGTGTTTGACTGGCTTCCCATTTGGTCGCATAATAGCGTGAGAGTTTCTCAGACGACCATAGGCTAAATAGTTTTGATGGTCTCTAACTATTTTGTATTAACTTGTTTAAATTGTATAGCATATTGAGAGCGTCGTGCTGTTATACTGCTCTGAAGTTTAGCCTGGAATGAGGTCTCCTTGTTGAGATCAACACCTCCAGGATTTCAACGCATCAGAGACAGCCATTCTTCTTGCAAAAAACTCTTTGTTCTGCAGGTCAGCATTTGAAATCAGTTGCCATCTTGTTTTGACCTCATGTTGACAAACAATGACATGGCAGTCGCCATTCTGTGAAATGTAAATTCAGAGGACCAGTTGTTGTCTTTTTGAAATCCATTCAGTTTCACTCACATGAGGCTAATTCAATATTCATGACCTCCATAGTGTGTAGAAAAAAATCATTCTTCTTGAGTCAAAGTTGGAATTAGATATTCCATTTTGCTGAATCAGGTTATCTATACCGTTGGAGTTTGGTTTTTGAAGAAAAAGATTATTGTATTTTCTAAAAAGCTCAAATCTGATTTTTGAAATATTAGTCCTTGCAAAGGAGTTTTACCTGCTTATGCTTATACTGTGCAATGTGGTGTGGCTGGGATATGCTTTGTTGATTAATCCTAAAAATTGTGTGTGCTGATGGCTGTTTTTATGCTTTGTCCATTAATCCTAAACATTGTGATTGCAAGTGTATTCGCTGGTTTAAGTTTGACTGTTTAATCATAAAGTCAATTTCTTTCCCATATCAAAGGTAGTTATTAAGAAAATAAGCTTCTTGTTAAAAAGAAGTCCGTTTTTAGAAGAGCTAAAAAAGGGTGGAAAAAAGCTGAAAAATTACAACAGCACACTCTGCTGGTTGTACAGAATTGTTGCACAAGAAATAGGGGTAAAAGGACAAACGTATAAATACAACACCAATTGATTATAATTATGCTAAGGTTTACTTTCAAGTATTATAGATGAACACGTACTTCATCACACATAGATAGAATCACAGGTGGTTCCTGATATTAAGATAAGAAACCTTACATAAGTCTTTCAACCTAGACTGTAGAATACCTAAACACCACACAATTGAAGTAAAAACATAGTTTATGACATTAGCATAATTTCATGCACTTTGGAATACACTATACACAGTAAAGCTAGATTTTTACGAGATTTCTATTTGCATATTTCAAAGCCAAGCCACTGTACAAGGTTTAAAAAAAAAAAAAAAATTAAAAAAAAAAAAAAAAAAAAAAAAAATTAAATTAAAAACTTTTTTGCATATTTTTATTTTACTTTATTAATCTTTAAAAAAAAAAAAAAAAAAAAAAACAGGTATTGAAGTTAAGTTCGGATGACATAGGATATTTTCTATCAGGAGCGAAGGTACTATTCAGAAGATTAGTGATTCATCTTGGATACATTTAATAACTATATCCAACTACTTAAGCAATATGTCGCCAAAATACACTAAGTTAGGAGCACCCGCAGAGCCAGGGTCAACTGCAGACATCAAGGCAAAGGTACATGTCAGATCAGATGCCACAACACATGCATCAGACAGACAAAACAACTGGAAACAGATACAGGAATTGTTTGATCAATGGCAGACGAGAGGATTGATTCCAGCAGATGATCAACCTGGCCCAACAAAAGCCCATAGAAAAGCTGTAGTTGCTTATGAGAATGAGAGATACTTAGACCAGCAAGAAGCATGGATCCACACCAGACACCCCTTTTGGTATGGACCTGAAAAAAGCGCTATGAACAAAGCTGAAAAAAGAAAAACGACAGTTACAAGTCTGCTGCTCCATCTGAAATATGCCAGCCAGGGATTGACAAACAGCATACATGTGTTAGAAGCGGCAGATCGGCCAGTGAAGGAAGACATAGCAGAAAAAACTAAAGACGCTCAAGTTATCCAAACTCCAAAGCTGTATCTAAGCCTGGCCGAAGTCCCTCCTCCCTTT